TATGTGGGATCCGACCCCTCGGCGGGAGCGCTGCCGCGCTTCCCAAGCGGCGCACTAGCGCAGTGCACCACCGGGCCGGCCCCCTCAGGCCACCTTCTGAGGCAAAGAAAGATTGCTGGGAAGTTTCTCCGTGGCCTTAGGTGTCTGACATTCTGGGTGGGGTGGGGAGGCATAGTGCTCACGGCAGATTAATCGGCACCACCACGTGGGGTCACTGGCATCATGAACCCACCCCCAGGTCATGCTGCTTCTGAGAAATAAGCCGGCTGCCTTTCCATCACTAGGGCTCAAATTCTGCCCTTTTCTTCCCAGGCTGTGTCCAGGAGGTGACCTTGGGGTCTTTGATTCCACTTCCAGGGTTCCTCGGGCACCAACAATTAACCCATGAGATTGGCCACAGGCCACGTGCAGAGGATCTGAGAGCCCCAGTGACACATCTTTCCATTGCGGGTCCAGCATATCAATCTTACACTGCCCTTCTGACTCTACCAGTGGGTCCATTGCCATCAGGTGAAAGAGCAAGAGTGCTCCAAATCAGTTGGAACCGTGCCCACATGGACCCCCACGACCTTCCCACACCATCAGCCTCCCCTTGGTCACAGTCCAGCAGGGCTGGCCTCTCTAGGGGGCCCTTTAAGGAATGGAGTGAATGGGATGATTTATCATTTCCATATGATGCTGCTCTCTTGATGCTGAGACAACAAACCAAAGGATTTCTGAGGACCTGAGTTACTGATCATCTAAAAAAAGCATTGACCCAGGGTCCCATCTCTTCCCCCACCTTGGATACCTGCGCCATTCCTACCACGTAGATGCAAAAGCCATAGGTCTGTGGAGAGGCCTCCTTGAGCAGTCCCTCTGAAATCTTGGGGTGCAGGTAAATGCTCATTCCCAAATAGCAAAGAGACTACAGAGAAGGCAAGAGTAAAGAGATATATTTTTCTAAGAGGAATATGACTGATACATTCCGCCCCTTGGAACCTGGCCATGCAGAAGGGCACAGGGAGGGACCTGTGGTTCCCTTCCCTGCCTCCCTCATCTGTAGAATTTGGGTCACCCTAGGGCCCAGCCAGGGGGCTCTGAATGTATTTTGTACCGTGTTTCTTTCCCCCAGGCTATTTCTAGTCTTCTTTCTCGAAGCAGTAGAGGGCTTGGCCTCCCCTTTCCCTTGGAGGTCAGCTCTCTCTTGCAGACTCTTGGTCCAAGACCTGGGCCAGTTCTCTGCTGGTGGTCACCTCTGGCCCCAAGCTTCTGTCTGAAGATTCCTCAGGTCAACACCACCATTAAATGCGAGTTTTGTTGATAATTCTACCATGTGGTAGAGTGTTGTATATGGTGAATTCACAAAACAGGATGTCTTTCTGGGGTGTGTCAGTGTGTGAATGTGTGAGAGAGACAGAGAGTGTTTGAGTGGGGGTTGGTTGGTGTATAATTGCTTTTGTGTCTCCGTAACTCTCCAGTGTAGCTGTGTGTGAAGAATCACATGCCTCTGTGTGTAAAATTGTCTTTGGGTTCAGCTACCCTTTTATATTGTGAGACTGTCTCCCCCAACTTGGTGTGATGACCGTCCCATTTTTAACGTGTCTGTGTGGGTCCCTCTGTGCGGAATTGTACACGTGTAGAGAAGGAAATGGAAGTTGTGTGGAACCCATGCATGAGAAGCTGCCTGTCTAATTTTGAAGACATGTCTTCTGCATATACCTTTCGTCCTTGACAGCTGTGGGAGGGAGGAGAGTGTGGACAGAAGTGGGGAGTGGGACGGGATCACTAGTGAGTTGTGCAATTGTCCCCGCTTGGGTACATGCACAGGTAGGAAAGAGGTTATCGATTGGAGGTGTTTCTTCTGCATATATATGGGTGTGTGTGTGTGTGTGTGTGTGTGTGTGAGAGAGAGAGAGAGAGTTTGTGTAACAGAGAAACAGTCCTGGGACTTTAATGCTGGGCACTTGTATGCAGCAGGGAAACCAAGGAGAGTACCAAAGGACAGCAAAGTCCCCTCTGTTCCCTGGTAGGTGGGGGCAAATCTCAGTTTCCAAATCCTCAAATACCTTTGAAGGAAGATCCTGTGTTCTCTTCCCTCACATGTCAAAGAGGCTTTCTGTGGTGACGTGCTCGTGCCCAGGGACTGTTCCCCTGCCAGAGGGAGGGACAAGGTTTTACATGCTGCCATATGAACAGTAAGTGGGGTCAGGGGGCTGGGGAGCAGAGGATAGAGGGAGGGGCTTCTTCCCACCTGGGGAAAGAGCTTGGGACTGGGAGTCTTGGAATCACTGAGGTAGGGAGGGGAAAGAAAAATCTCAGAAAGGGGACAGTGTGAGGTTCTTCCAGAACTGAGGGCATGATCTTTCTCCTCTGGGGGTTTATGTTGGCTCATAGAAACCATTGTGTGATGACTGACTGAACTCCAATCTGGGCCCCAGGCTACTCTGAACCCAACCTTAAACCAAGTCTGACATAATCATAGACTGAGGCCAATCCCAGAGTCTTGAACCTGGGTCACAGCTAGGTCCTGATTCTGGGCACACACTGACCCATAATCCTGGTCTCATGCTGATCCTTGATCTTAGCCCCACATTGTGTCACACTGAACTGAGTCCCAAGTCTGGTTTTACCTATGCTGAGCCCTGACCCTGGTCACTGACTGAGATCCAACCTCGGTCATAGGCTAAGAGCCCTCACCTGCCCCAGAACAAATGCTGATCATGTCTCCTGCCTGAGCCCTAGTCTCTGTCACCTGAGCTCTGATTATGGTCACAGATGGAGACCCTGGATGAGTCCTGATCTTGGTTACTCTAAACCTTAATGCTGTCCTCACTCTGAGCCCTCCCCCAATCTCACATCAAGCTTTGACTCTGGTCCCAGGCTGAATGAACCCTGAACCCACGTGCCAATTTCCTTTTACTTCCTAAATATTGTCTGTGTAACCAAATCCTCCTGGCCAGAAGTGAAGGAAGCCACAATATATCTAGCCCCACGCTCTCCTGGATTCTCCTCCTCAGCTCTCACAGATTCTGTGCCATATCCACCTCCCCGCTCCTTCCCACCACAGATCACCATGGTTGGGGGGACAGGGTGGTGTAAATGCACTTTAGGCCAGAGATGGGGCTGAGATGGATAGTTTGACAGTTTAGCAGCCTCTGCTTTGGTTGATCCCTGCCTTTTCGATCATACTCATCAGCCATCAGGAATCGAATCTTTATATTTCAGACTGGAAGGAACCAAGGTAGCATTCATTCATTCATTCATTTATTCACTCATTCATTTAGTCAACACGTCTACTAAGCATCTACCCTATGCCAGACACTACTCCCAGTTCTAGGGATTAAAAAAGGAACAAAGCAGATAAAAATCCCCAATCTTGCAGTTACACTTACCAGGTACTGAGCAGATACCTTAAGTGATCAGAAAGCTTTTGGAGATATGATGATGGGACAAAGAAGCAAAAGGACTTGCATAACTCCTGACCAACCCCATGAGGTGAGTGGAGCCAACATTTAACTCCATTTTATGGCGGGAAGGACATTGATGCTCAGAGACGAGCAGTAACCGACCTGAGCCACACAGATATTAACATCAGAGGGGGGGGCTTCTGCCCTCTCCTCTCCTTCCGCTAAAAAGTCTTTTCCATGTGCAGAGAATGACAGAACCCTTGCACCCGAGGAGGAAGGAAAGCTTTGATGCCAGTGGTTAGCAGCACAGGGACATGACTGGCCCGGAAGCCGGAACACCTCAGCTCTCCTCCTGCTGTCCTCTCCTGCTCGCTGTGGCTCCAGAACTCGAGGAGAATAAGCAGAGCCCAACATCTGCTGATTTTTCCAGTGACCCTGGAGGCCCCTGCAAACATATCCCCAGAGGACAATGTGGAAGGGCAGGGGAGGGAGGGGCCAAAGGGATTCTGGGCAGGTCCTGCACGACCCTTCCTCCTCCCCAGGCCCAGCCCCTTCCCCTCCCCTTTCTCTCGTTCATTGTTTGCTTCTTTCTCCCCATCCCTTCTCCCGTCCTCACTGTTTTTCTTTACACCGCCACCTGCTCAAA